CTTGTTCAAACACAGATTGAAGGGCTCTCTATCTCGGAGCTTGGGGGTTGGAGGTAGGGAGCTGAGAATTTGCATGTCTAACAAGCTCCCAGGTGCTGCTGACCTGTGGTCTGGGGATCAACCACTTTGTTCTATCCAAATCCTACCTGCATATTATAATCAGTGGTGTTTTTTAGTACCTAGGCTTGGGCCCTAGGGAATCATATTTAAATAGTCCGGTGGGGGACCTGAGTGCCTCTTAATTCTAATGCATCCAGGTCAGGAACATCTGCTCTCATGTGAACTCCCTGCTTTCGTCCCTGTGTGTCCTGGGACCAGCAAGAAGGGATTCACAGAGGCTCCTTAGAAGCTCAGTCTCTCCAGCCCAACCCCAGACCTATGGAATCAGAATCTGCACTTTAATAGGACCCCCAGTGACTCCTATGCACATTAAAGTCTGAAAAGCATTGCTTAGGTTTCAGCCTAAAGGGAATTTCCTCAGAGAGGACTTCTTCAAGTGCTTTTGAGAGGGTGGCTCTTCAGAGCTCCCAGGGAGAGAGAAACAAGTTAGCACCACTCAGCTACTCCCATTAGCCAAACAGGTAACCAAGCATTTTGTAGAGCACACAGTGAAGAAATAAAGGCTTCCGTTGGCATTAATTGACTGCCCTTGGAGTAAGGATAGAAACAAAGTTTATTTTTATTTTTTTGAATTTTTAAAAGGGTTTACTTGAGCCCTGGCCAGTTTTGCTCAGTGGTTAGATCGTCAGCCTGTGGACCAAAGAGTCTCAAGTTCGATTCCCGCAAACATTACACGGAAGTGGAAAAAAGCAAGATGGGATTGGAGTACAAGATAGTTAACAAGATTATGTGCTTTCGTGAGGGTGTTTATTTCAAAGGTATATTAACTTATATGCACAGAAACAATGGACAGGGCTTGCTGCAGGCAAAGATAAACCTTTTACTAAAAAGTTAGATGCCTGGGGCATGATTACCCACCATGACCTGCCCAGTTAGGAATTTACTGTTACCTTACAACATAAGGTTTTTTTTGTCCACCATTCTCCCTTTGGTAATAAATCAATCTGAATGATGCATCGATGACCAACCTTTTGGTTGGATTATGTAGTCTCACGGTGCTAGGAAGGCTCATTCCTAGGAAGTCTCACTATCAATGTTGTCTTGTTGATCATTGGGGATGGAGCGATATTGAAACCATGGGATCTGGGCCCTGGCTGGTTTGGCTCAGCGGTTAGAGCTTCGGCCTATGGACCAGAGAGGCCCGGCTTCGGTTCCCGCTAAGGGCACGTACCTCGGTTGCAGTTTGTCCCCGGCCCTGGTTGGGGTCGTGCTGGTGGCAACCACTCAATGTGTCTCTCTCACATCAATGTTTCTCTCTCTCTCTCTCTCTCTCTCTTCCTTTCTCCCTCCCGCTCTATCTGAAGATAAATGAAAAAAAAAAAAATGTCCTCGGTTGAGGATAAAAATAAAAGAAACCATGGGATCTGGGCTGAGGCAGAATTTTCCTCAAATAGGAAGGGCAGGTAAATGGAAGGCAATCAGGTTTTATGACCATAGAAGCAAAATGTTTAAATGGTCATAAGTGGGCATCTATGTGCCAACAGTGTAGAACTCTCAGCAGTGACTCCAGAACCTTGGAGAAGAGGACTCAGGCCAGGAAAGACCTCCCTTACTTACTTAGTCTGGTCCTGGACAGAGATTGTCACCAGTACTCATAGGTATAGTGCATACTTACTATTGTGTACGGATTATAGAGTTTGTATTCCAAAATGGGACTCAGCCATTCACCCCTGTAAAGTACCCGAACTAAAAAGGACCCTAATTGTGTAATGTGATCAAGATTCTGGACTCAGAGCACAAAGCCCAACAGGATCATGTTGGCAAAAATTTTAAAGATGAATATTGCCAGGGGTGTGAAATACTTGTGAAAGTGTCAACTGATGCAGGATTTTTGGAAGGTAATTTGTAAAAATGCCTCAAATTTTTAAACATACATAGCCTATGACCCACACTCCCACAACTAAAAATGTAACCAATAAAAATATTAGAAGACATACACAAAGGTGTGTGTGTGTGTGTGTGTGTACTTTTCAGCATTATTTTTACTTTTAAAAAATGGAAGTAAGCTATAAGTCTGTCAAGAAAGACATGAGCCTCTATCTCTAAATCAATAAAGAAAAAACTATTTAAAAAGAAAGAAATGAATAAATTCATTTTTAAAATTTTTTCTTCTTTATTATTGATTTTAGAGAGTGAGGAAGGAAAAGGGAGAGAGGGATAGAAACATCAATGAGAGAGAACATCAATTGGCTGCCTGCTGCATGCCCCACACTGGGGATCGAGCCCATAACCCAGGCATGTGCCCTGACCGGAAATTGAACCAGCGATCTCTTGGTGCATGGGTCAATGCTCAACCACTAAGCCACACTAGCCAGGCAATGAATAAATTCTTATAGTGCAATGGTTTTCTGCTCATCTGTTTAAAGGATGGGAACTCTGTATGTTCACACATGGTGAGTGTGCACATGAATGTGTGTATGTGTAGTATGATTCCGTTTCTATTTTTTAATTTGTATATATACATATATATGAAAAAAATCTGGAAATACAGCCACTAATCTGTAAACAATGATTGCTTTTAGGAAGTGAGACTAGAATTGGGGAAGTGTATGTCACTTTTTCTGTATACCCATTTACAATTTTTGAATTTGTTATAATAAGAATGTATTATTTTTATTATTTAAAATGTATTTCAAAGTAGTAAAAATGATTTCCTGAGAACTGTTCTTCTCTGGGTGTGTTTCCTCCCCTTAGCCCATTCAGTTATGTGTTTCAAGCTTACTCTTTAGACACAGTACAATATGCTCTAATTGATTAAATTTGGGCTTTCTTAGGAAAAACCTAATCCAGCCTGCACCCTTTGAGATTAATTCAGGTAACCTGATTGACTTCTGGGCACCCCAAAGAAGGTCTTAATTTCAATTTAGTACCAGGTCCTTGAAATTGTATTTGTCTTTTAGCCCCTGCCCTTTAATATAGTCTCTTATGATGCATGTAGTTAACCAAACCCCAGACTTGTTTTAAAAAAATTGCTGCTAAATCAGGTCACCCAGTTCTGTACTTAAATTTTTTTAATGTAAAGGTAGATGGTATTTTTTTTAGTTCTGTTAAATTTCATCTCATACATTTTATTACCTACAATCTGTTAACATAATTTCAGACTATTGCCATAATTTTCTATCTTGCTTTCTAATGCATAGATAGTCCTCTAAACTTTGCATTTTAAACATGCATATTTAATCATTGTAAAGGTTATAAAATGTATAGACACATCTTTTAGACAGTACTCTTTTTAGCTGAAAATGGCCAAAATTTACTTAAACTTAAGCAAAAAGGAAATTTATCAGATGGAGACTGAGGTATCCAATTGACCACAAGACAGGAGTGACTCTAGGCCTGAGTGAAACAGGCAGAAAATGGGAAACTATTAAGTCAGGGCAATATTCTTTCACTTCCTTATCTCTACCTCTTAATGCTCTTTCTCAATCCCTCATACCCGACCCTCACTGTCCCAACATTACCCTCATCCCCAAGTCCCCCATCTCTCCCGCTGGCCCCCACCTGTCTGCACACACAACCACAGACACACCAAGTGTGGACTAAGGTAAGATCATCTGCTCCCCTCCCCAGCTAGAACTTTTTACCCTGGATCTGCATGCAGGTCTTAGGCCCCTTTCAGACCAACAATTCATTTCTTTCCACTAGCTTGCCCTCAACTTCACCTCCATTGGCCCTGAGAACCACCCCAGATATTCAGAGTTAATACCTTCCCTATGGCCCCAGACCAAGGCCCAATTCCTGTTTCCAGGGAGCAGCAGTTTGTGTTGGATGTCCACCATGGTTCAGTCAAATGTGGCCAAAGGGACATATTCAGGTAGAACAAACCTCACTTCCCAGAACCATCCTCTGTGGCTGGGTGCAATTCTCAGAGACATGGGTATAATACTGACAACTACCTAATGAGCAAATGCCCCAAATCTGTCCACTATAGAAATGTCAGTGGATGCCAAGTCCAAGTCTAAGAGTGTATGGCTCAAGGTCTCCCAAGTCCAAAGTAAAGGGATGACTGTGCAGGTGAAGAATGCAGTATAATTTAATGGTTAAGTACATTGGCTTTGAAATCAAGTTAAGGATTAAATACTATTTCTGCCATGAAGTTACTCGATTTCTGCATCTCCTAGTTTTCTCACCTATAAGGTGGCAAAAATAATAGTCTTATTGGGTAGTTGTAGACATTAAATGAGATTACATATCAGGCTTCCTAGCTCTTAGCAAGCATTTCACAAATGCCAACTCTCATTATTAATATTATTATATCATTGTTATCAATATGAAGAAGTAAATCTGTAATGGTGTCATGAGAGGCAGTGCATTGGACATAACACACATGTGTTTCAACCTACCTTCTTTTTGTGTATAATATACACGATATACAGGGTAAAATATAATCATCCTGTACTGGGCACTTCGAATGTCGGGACACTGCTTGTTCCCACAGCCTGCAAACACCTGAAGGGTTGTACAAGAAGATGCTAAGCACTCTAGAAATGTCAGCCTGGCGTGAGGCAAAAAATGCTGTGGAGAAAGAGTCCTTTCGCTTAAAATAGAAATTCTGAAGGAAGCCAAATTAATACATGACAAGTTATTGAGTATCCAGTTCTTCTGGAGAAAGAAAAAAGAAATGAAAAGGGGAATTGCTGTTACCAAAATCACATTTCCTTTCTGGTGAAATTCTCCAGCCAAGTTTAGTGCTAACCGAGTAGGCGATTTCACTTCATCACTTCACAAAAGATTTCCAAATTCACTGCAGCAGACACAGCAAAATAAAAATGTTAAATACATCCTGGCTGGGAGGGGACTGAAGCCTCCACGCTCAATCAAAGGTTTGCAATAATAGGATTCATAAAAAAAAAAAAAAGACAGATGGGATTAGAAAATGTTGCAGTGAAGACAAGATGAGCTCACAGCACCAGACTGTCTTTTGTGGACCTGCACAATGATCCCCGAGCCAGACTGGATTAGGAAACCTCTCGACTAGTAGGGGTTCAGAGAGGCCTCCGGTTCCCAGGCACCTTAGGGGAGAGAGCGCTGAAACGATGCATCAGATTTACAGCTGCAGTGACGAAAATATAGAAGTTTTCACCACTGTGATTCCTTCCAAGGGTGAGTAAAATCGTCCTTGACTTCCCTTAAGGGGGCACCTTGCGCAGAGGGTGAGGGCAATCACGTGCTGTTTCACTGCAGTTTTCCCTCAGGTCTCTGAGCTCCGGCCGCTTCTGGGTTTTGATGATATTTGTTGTTGTTTCCGAAAGGGAGGCACATGGATAAACATCAGTCGTTGAGAAACAGTTCATGGGTGGGGGCAGTTAAATATTCCTGTTTCACTTCGTTCAGTAGGGCAGCCCGCTGTGCCGAATGAGAATGACAGCAAGCCATTGTTGGAGGAAACAGATGAAAACAAGTGTCCGGGCAGCTAGATAGATTCTTTCATCTTCTCCAGTGAGCAAATGGGTTCTGAAATGCGAACCATCTGCCTCAGAAGCCTGATTTCTAACTGTGTAGTGAAGTATGAGGAGAAATACTCCCCACAGTGACCCAAAGTCCAATGAATTGGTCAAATAGTGCCCTAACCCGGGCGGGCCTCTCCCCAGACCCCAGCGCCACGCTCCCAAACTTAACCTGGAACCAGAGCCACCAAAAAGTGTGACTTTGTCAGTCCTTGTGTTCCCCGGGGAATGGTGTCCAGGGAGGATGAGAGCCCAGATGACTGCAGGTGCCTGGTGACTGGACAGTTCCCCTGCAAAGCTCTGCCCACTCCGGCGGCCCCCATTCTGTCCCTGCAGCCCCTGTCCTGCTGGGAAAGTCCGGGACTCCAACCCTGGTCTTGTTGTCAGACGTGAATGAAGCAGGCTGGGTGTTTGCTGGTGCTGTGACCCCTGTTCGAACAATTTTTTTTCCCTCGTCAGCCACCAAAAAGGGCCATTGCTGGAGGGGGTAGGGGGATGGGGGAGAGACTCAGCCTGATCACAAAGAGACAGCAAGCAGAACATAAATTAAGCTTGAGACATCTAATGCCGGATAGCCAGAGAGAAAAAAAGAGCTAGGAGTCGGCCCACATGCAGGAGTTGGAACTCTGTCTCTGGAGACTCTGAAACGCACCTGGACAGTCAAGGTGGTCATGACCCTCTGACCCAGCTGTTTCACTTCTCTCTTAAAGGCGGATGCTCTCAGTGGCACTGATGTCGTGGCAGCAAAACTGAGAAGAACCTAAGTTTCCTTGAAGAGGGAAAGGGGTAAAATGGGTGTCCTGATACTATGGAATAGTCCACAGCGAAGGACTAGATCTGGGTGTATGGACACAGATCTCCAAACATCATGTTGAGTGAAAGAAAAGCAGGCCAAAAGTATATGTGTATGATAAGAATGATTAAGTTTGGAAATATAAGACAATACTACATGTTGTTTATGGGGACATATTTGGAGAAAAGTATGAAAACATAAGCTGGAAAGATACAGTTAAAATTAGTGATCTTAGTAGCCCTGGGGGGGGAGAGACGTAGAATTAGGGAAGACATAGGGGATCTAAACTTGCCCTCTAATTTTTTATTACTTTTATATGAGAAGGAAACAAATTGGAAGCAAATGGGAAAATGTTAAAATGTCTATTTTCTGTCATTTTTTTTCCATTTAAAAAATTTTAAAAGAAAAGAATCAAAGCCGAATGGCTGTTTTTAATTTGAAAAGTATTATGCAATTCAGGAGCAATATCATACTTTCATGAATAAAATTATTCAAAACAGGGCCTTTGACTCCATGTGCTTAGCAAAGTGATCAAGAGACTCCCACCATTTTGCACTGTGTGACCTTGAGCAGGCTACTTAACCTCTCTGGGCCTAAGTTTTCACTTTTGTAAAAGGGAGAACTAGAACTCACCTCCTAGGGTTATAATGGGAGAAAAATGAGATATAGAGAAAATATATAAAGCATCTAGAACAGCACCTAGCATGCAGTAAGCACCATTACATACATACAAAGTGATTTCCATTGACTATGTTTGGTCAAAGATAAATATTTAATCCCATATTCCTCTCTTGCCATTTTTATTCACAGCCAAGTATTTATTGGTATTCATGCACATTTCACTGCTCAAGAAGTTGTCCAGAAAAAGAGTATTTGCAGTTTATTTTAGACCAGAAACGGGAGAAGTCTGCCTCTTCCTTCCTGTTTTCCATCTTGCTTCTCCAAAACCATCCTCAGGGAGAGAAGACAGTGCTAGCTTGTCTTATGTCACCACTTATGAGATTGGTAACTCTTTATTACATCTTCACATTTCCTAACTGCAGAAATATAGGTTGGTTTGATTTTATCTAACAAGAGTTATAGTCCACCCTGATATGCCCTTTCCCAAATGCTACTGTGTAGCCATGCTTATTCAATGGGCAATGACCAAAACCTATTCAGAGCACAACGTCAGCCACATGAGCAGTGTTGCCTAGTGGTTGAGAGCATAGACCTTGTACCACCATCGACTGTGCGACTCCAACCTTCAGTAAAGGTTCAGTGTCCCCATCTGTAAAATGGAAAGTGCCTGCACCCTGGCTGAGTAGCTCAGTTAGTTAGAGCATTATCCTAATATGCCAAGGCTGTGGGTTCAATCCTCTGTTGGGACACACAAGAATCACCTAATCACCCAGCCGGTGTGGCTGTGGTTGAGCTTCGACCCATGCACCAAGAGTTTGCCAGTTTGATTCCCAGTCAGGGCACATGCCCAGGTTGTGGGCCAAACCCCCAGTGGGGGGAATGCAGAAGGTGGCAAATCAATGTTCTCTCTCATCGATGTTTTTATCTCTCTCTCCCTCTCCCTTACCCTCTCTCTAAAATCAATAAAGAAAAAATATTTTTTAATTAAAAAGAAGAATCAACCAATGAATGCATAAATAAATGGAACACCAAAATTGATGTTTCTCTCTCTCTCTCCCCCTCTCTAAAATCCATCTATGTATTTTTTAGTTGATATTTTAGAGAGAGAAGAAGGAAGAAAGAGATAGAAACATTGATGTGAGAGAAACATCGATCAGATAGATGCCTCCTACATGCCCCCTACTGGGGATCGAGCCTGAGACCTGGGCATGTGCCCTGACCAGGAATCAAACCAGGACCTCTTAGTCCATGGGATGACGTTCAGTTCATTGAGCCACAATGGCTGGGCAATGAAGAGCACCTACTTCACAGAGTTACTGGGAGGCATGAATGAGGTAAAGCAAATAAGTCATCCACCTAGTAAAGCTTCATGGGGAGCTATTATTACATTTATTATTGTTGTAATATATTCCTTGTATTGGGTCCAACCTACAAGCGATATATATTTTCAGCTGAGCCATCTTAATGTCTCACAAAAACGTAGCCACAGCAAATGTTATGGAGTTTCTTCAGTATTTTAAAGGCACAGGACACAGATCAAGTCTGTAACTGAGGACAAGTGTATATTTCTACTTTCTAGAGAGAGAGAGAGAGAGACCTTTCAGGGAAAGATTTCATAGACACAATTCACAGTAAATACAAAAGATAAAAGCTGTGGTTTTACCCAGAAGTTATACCAGCAGCTATTTCCTGAGGCACACAAAAACAGGCTTAATTCTGGGGTAAACAGTACCACAGTGTTCAAAATAACCTACTTGAGGATAAACAGTGATGGAGAGGGTTAGTGAGGAGAATCGGGGAAAGAGAAAATGGAAAAAGCCCCCGAAAGAGGAACCAATGGAAAGCCACAGTCTCTGGAAGTCACCGCCTATTCCTCCCACCAGCCTTCATCTTGCAGAGAAAGAGGAAAATTGTAATACCCACCATTAGTTCCTGGGAACTTACTCTTCTGAAGATAAATGGAAAAATATCCTCGGGTGAAGATTGAAAAAACAGAAAAGAAAAAGAAAATTCAAATTGTGGTGCAGCTATCACCACTATCCATTTCCAGGACTTTGTCATCATTCCTAACAGAAACTCTGTACCTATTAACTGGCAATTTTCAACCTTTTTCTTCTCATGGCACACATAAACTAATTACTAAAATTCTGCTGCACACCAAAAAGTATATTATATTTTTGACAATCTGACAAAAAGAGGTATAATTTTATTTATTTGCAAAAAATAATAATAGTAGTAATTACCTACCCTTTTTCCTCCAAAGTACCTTTTTAAAAAATCGGGTGCCTATACTTGTACATAAGGATTTCTGGTACCAAGAATTCACCAATCAGACACAACCTTATTATACAACATGAGCGATAAGATGCAACTCTGTTATATAACCTACATATTAATGGTTCAAGACAGGGCATTCACAGGGTGGGTGGAGGGTTGACCAAAAAAGAAAAAGAGAGGGAAAAACGGACAAGAATAAGAATGTGATCATTGCTGGCGGGAGGGGTTTGAGGGGAGGTGGAGGAGGACCTAGGGGGGATAAATGGTGATGGAAGGAGACTTGACTCGGGGTAGTGAACACACAATACAGTGTACAGATGATGTTTTGTGGAACTGTCCACCTGAAACCTTTATAATTTTGTTAAATAGTGTCACCCCCAAAACATTCAATAAAAATGGGGGGAGAGAGGACATTCACATGGGGCAGCTATTGTTGCATTGGCTGTGGTCATTTTTTATTTAACAATCTAAGAGAAAAAGAGGTCAGTGTCCCTAACTAAATAATCGGGTATTGCATGTTTTAAAAATCCTTGTGGCACACCAGTTGAAAATCGCTGCATTAAACAATAATTCCCCGTTTCTTCTTTCCCAGCCCCTGGGAACCTCTATTCCACTTTCTGTCTTTATGAATTTGACTACTCTAGGTATCATATAAATGGACTTATACAATATTTGTCCTTTTGTGTCTAGCTTATTTCACTTAGCTTAATGTCTTCACGTTTCATCTATGTTGCAGTGTATATCAGAATTCCATTCCTTTTTGAGGGTGAATAATATTCTATTGAATGTATAGACTACATTTTATCTATTTATCTGTGATGGACACTTGAGTTGTTTCTACCTTTTGGCTATTGTGAAAAATGCTGCTGTGTGCTTCAGTGCACTCAAACAAGTAACATCGAAAATTGCAATTGCGCCCTGCCTCTTCTTCCCATCCCCCTCCTCTGTGCCCCTGCCTCACCCCAGGTGCAAATCTGCTCAGTTTTGTTACTGTAGCTAATCAGCCTCACAGGTGTTCTCTAAAATCATTCCTTTATCTCTCTTTGCAGTGTCCAGTCCTCCCAGAAGAAGAGTCAAAAGCTCTCAACACCTCTTGACCAAGAATGTAAGGAAACTTCAGTTTTGATCTCTTTTTTGACTTTCATTAAAAAAACATTGTCTAGCTGCTGCTGCTGCTTCTTCTTCTTCTTCTTCTTCTTCTTCTTCTTCTTCTTCTTCTTTCTTCTTTCTTCTTTCCTCTCTCTCTCTCTCTCTCTCTCTCTCTCTCTCTCTCTCTCTCTCTCCCCCCTCTCTCCAGCTCTCAATTAACCAGGAAGGTTTTCTATAGCCCATGTTGTTGCTGCATTCTCCCTCCTCCACTTAACCAGAATAATTGACAAATACCAACCAGAAAGCACATAGCTCTGAGTTAGAACCCTCTATTCTGCCACTTTTCCCAGACACAGATAGTAAATTTCATTTTGTATATACTTTTTTCTTATTTAAACAAAGTCCACAACGTGGGTATAGCATCCCTGACCTAGGTAGGTATTCTATTTTTGGTATTTGTAATGTTCCATTTTTTTCACTATTATAAATAGCAGTGCAAGATTTATTTTAACTGCTAATTGTTTATGAGTTTATTTGTACAAAATATTATTTGGGTGATTAATTCCTTGGTGCATAGGCCTCAAAGGACAATTAATAAGTAAAAGGATAAGAATAGTTTCATCCATCCATCCACCCATCCATTCATTTATCCATCAAATATTTACATTCCTATTATCTGTAAGAGACACTGAGCAACATGGAGAGAAATAATAGTGATTTTTAAAAATGGTTTCTGCTTGCAGTGTTGTCACTTGTGACCCAGAATTCGGAACAGTTGCTAGGCTTGCACCATGCTTTGCTATTTACCTCCAACCTCACCAACACTGGCTTTCACTTTCTGTCTTATCTTTTGCTACTTTAATAAGCATATGCATTACCTTAAGATTAGTTTACATGTCTTCAGAGCCTAATGATGCTGTGAATTTCTCATTTTACTTATATATTTTCTTATATAAAAGCTGTCAATACATCTTTGTACTTTAAAAGATTTATTTTAACTGGTAATTGTTTCCTCTCGGTTATACTGGAATTTCTATTTCTATCACAAGTTTTCATAAAACAACATTTTGATTTTCTATATATCTCAATTTTTAAAAATTTATCCTTCATTAAAAAACAATTTTTAAGTGTCCTTGGAATGAGGTTGGGTTTTAGTCATTGTTGTTTTTATGTCATTTGTTATTACTTTTTTAATATCCAAAGCAGTATGTGCCCATTATAAAATTTGAGACATCATGCTTTGGCTGATGTGGCTCAGTTAGCTGGAGCATCATCCCGTGCACCAAAAGGTGGCAGGTTCGATTCTGGGTCAGGTCTCTCTCTCTCCCTGCCTCTCTCTCTCTCTCTCTCTCTCTCTCTCTCTCTCTCATCAATAAAAATATTTTGAAACATTATGAAGACATAAAATACAGTATTAGTAAATCCTCAGGAGCTGTACAACACAGTAGTTAGGTGTGTAGACTTAGAAGTCGAATTGCCTGAGCTTAAATTCCAGTTCTATCCATTTCTAGCGATCTGGCCTTGAGCAAGTTGCCCAACCATCCTGGGACTCCTTAACATCAAAATGGGGCTAAAAAGATTACACATCTCAAGAACCTCTGGAAGGAGCCAATGATCTAATACCTGTAAAGTGCTTAATCCAGAGCCTGACGTGCTGAGCATGCAATAAGCATTGGTGTTTTTTTAGTAAATATTTCCCACATATTAACACAATTATTATGCTTTATTGCTCGATAACATACTGTTTTGCAATTTTTTTCACTAAGCAATAAATCTTGAAATTGTTTACATGCCAATCAACACATATAGACCTACCTCATTCTTTATAGAGGCTGCATACACAGTATGCCATTGTATGAATGTACCATAATTTTTTACCCAAACCAAATATGAAGTTTTCTTAGATTAATTATTTGACCAAATTGTCAATAAATAGGGTTCCCCATTTTTTCTACTAAAACAATGTCATAAGAAATATTCTTGAACATATTTTTATACTCTTATGTAAATGTTTTAAGGATATATTCATAGATATGAAATTCTGGGTTATCAAACTAAACATGTGCTCCTTAAACTTACACAACTTATATGTCAATTATGTCTCAAAAAAAAAAAAAGAAAGAAAGAAAATGCTCAAAGAATAAGAACATTGAAAAAATTATATAGCCATTGCCAAATTCTAAGCAACTATATTTTAAAAGTACCTTTACCAGAACACCTGAGCCAATACTGTATGGCATATGTTGTTAATCTTTGACAATCTAATAGGTGAACATATCGTACTGTTTGCATTTCTTTAATACCATTCATCTTTTTATAGATTTTATTTTACGTTTTACTCTGAGTTCCTTAATCATGTCTTTTGCCCAATTTTTTCTGTCAGTTGTATATCTTTTTAAAATAACTTTTGCAAATATTTTATATATTAAGAAAGAAAAGAGATTTCAATGAATGGAAATTGTTTAGTCGTGGTGATTCCTGAAAACGTAAGCCCACCCTCTAATAGAAAAATGCTCCTGCCTTTTAAGGAGCAGCGAGTGTTAACAAAATGGAAAGGGAAACAGTTGTTTGTAGGTAATTTGGAGTTTAAGAAAAGTTTCACAACAGATGTTTCAGTCAAGGCCTTGAGTTTGGCATTACCTTGGATTTGAAGGAACCACAACTCATTTATAACTCAGGGATGATCCCATGGAAATTAGGAATATGTAATTCTCAACCAAGTTCTTGCCTTGAATTTCTACACTTAAACAATATTCCTGTCTGAATCACTCCTTATACCAATAACTCCTGGCTAGAGCAATGGTTACAAAAACTTTTATAATGGTTTAGTCAGTGTGGCTTAGGGGGTTGAGCATCATCCCTTGCACCAAGAGGTCACCATGTGTGTCCCAATGCCCGGTAAGGAGCGTGCAGGAGGCAGCTGATGTTTCTATCTTTCCCTCTCCCTTCCTCTCTATCTAAACATTAATAAAAATATATTTTTTTTAAAAAACTTTTAAAATGGAAACTAAATCACTCTACTTTCTAAAACAAAGTTCTCAGGGGACTTAAAACCTAAACAAAGGAGTCAATTCTGAGTGGTGGAGGTGAAGCAACATGGACGAGAGATACACAAAGCCACCAAAACCCGGGCAGAGCCTCCTGGAATATCCAGCTGACTTCAGCCAGGCACTGTAACCATGCTCTCAGGTTTCCTGGGAGTGGAAAATTTTGAGAAAGATTGTTATGTTTTATGGCTTATGACTTTCCCTCTCTAAAATATTTTTACCCAGAGAAAAAAATGACTCAAGAATCTCAAGAATATGAATAACTTACATATCAAAATTGCTTTTGATTAAAAAAAATCAGAAGCCAAGGTCTTGTCTGCAAATATGCAGTCTTCCTCCAGGTGAGAACTTCTCAGTGCCCTCTGACCTTTGAGTTCTCCTTTGAATTTCTGATTTCCCCTCACAGCCTGACTCATTCTTTGCTTATAAAACTCAGCTCAGCCGTACAGAACATTCAAATTAGAAAAGACAGAAAAGGCCTCTTAGCCTACCTAAGAGGGGGAAAGGGAAGCCCACAGAAGAAAGAGTTGGCTCTGTTCTCTTGTTTCCTCATCCAACTGGCTCTTGGCTCCCCTTTGAGTTCCTGAGAAAATGATTCATATTTTGCAACTGCTCTAATGTACCAATGTTTACAACTGCCTTTGTCCTGAAATTCTAATTTGTGTCTATTCTCATTTCTTTGGCTACCATGTGGATGTCAGGTTCCTTCCTTTACAAATGCTTCTTTCCTTTCTGAACCATCCCTAGTGTTACAGTTTCCCCTCTCTCTGGACTCCTCTTAAGTTCCATTTTTTTCTGAACCCAGGGTACAGCCACAGATTGTTCCTTCTCTGGAAAGTCTCTCTGGTCTCCCTCCCCCCTTGAATTCTTAGGCGATTTTATTGATATCCTGATCAGACTGATGCCACCAACATCATAAAAGTAGCTCAAAGGAATGAATTTACACGAAGGTGCGAGTCAATTAGGACTCTCGCTCAGTACAGTGGAGGCCCTGCCACTGTGATTCACAGCCCCTTCATAATAAGCAGCAGGACTCCATCACGAAAGATGGAGAAATGCGATTGCAAATGTCACATTCTCCCCAGATTTCAACCTTGCGGAGGAGGGATTTGTCTGGTGATCTGCTGGTTTTTCAAAACGCACTGAGCAATCAACTGCACTGGAAAGTTTTTATCTGGATGTAGGTACTTCTATGGCTCTGACAGAGAGCACTCAAGAGTCATCAAACCACAGCTCTTGTCCTGGCTCTGCCCCTTAGAGCACATGAAGGCACATGTCCTGGTGTGGCCTAGCACACTGCCCTGGAGCCCTCTCAGAGCCTCTGTTATTGTGGGAAATTAGAACCAAGTACAAGGCCAGCTACAAAAGGGAAATCTTCTGAGCTGGGCCCCTCTCCTCTGTCCTTTCCTGCTGTTGACATCCTTTTGGAGGGGTTGGAGAAGATACCCTAAAGGGGCACTTGGCCCTAAGTCATAATCTGGGAAGGAACCAGCCTCATCTCCCCCACCACCCCAGGAAACCTCCTACATCTAGTGATGGGCTGAGCAGCTACTACCTCTCTGCTCTCTCCCTCCCCAATCTCTTCCCCCAGCCACAGGACAGAGAAGGGATGATGGAGGTGGTGGTTCTTGTTCCTGACATGGAACATTTGCTTCCCTTTCAGAGGAGGGAGTGCTGGGTCTGCCCCCTGGGCTCCTCAGGCTGTCACATCCTGCCTTACTTTCCCCATCTACAAAGTGGGTCTGAAAGCTCACCAGTCCTCAATCCTCCTTCCTGAGAGGCATGCTGAAGGAATGAAAATACAATCAGAAATACTTGCAACGGGAAGTCAACAGCAGAGAGCCCTACAAGTGTCACACAATGGGAGCCAGGTCTTTCCTATTGGACCCGGAGACTCATATTCCGGGGGAGGGCCCTTCTGTCAACCAGTCCATGTGTCAGGGGAATGGGACTCTGAACTAGCATCACTCCAGGAAATTCCAGTGTTCCAGGTGACGTCATGGCGGAGGGCAGTGCTAAAGGGAAGGGAAGGGGGAGAGCAGAGATGTAAGTGCGGGGTGCTGAGTGCAGACTACACACTGCTGTGTCTCGGGCCCCAGTGCGCTGGTGTCAATGGAGGTGCTGCCCCGGCCAGCACTGAAGGCTCGTGAGAACAGAAACACCCCCTGCTGCAGTGCCCAGAGGAGAAAGGACTAATCCTAAATGCTCCTGGATTATCAGCTCTCTCCAAAGGCACAGAGTGAATAAATTTGGATCCTAAAATGGGCCTGAGCAGAGTTCATCTTCTACCTCAGATAAAACCAAATTTGGGATATATTAATTTTCTAAGCAAAGGACTGTTTGTGGTAAACTGAGGCAAAGAGTGACAGCCGCCCTTATTTTCCTCTGTGGGAGACATGAACTGTTCTCAGATGCTGTAGGTAAATACAGGGGTAGGCAAGGTAGGTTTACGGTTGTGAGTATGTGAAACACGGAGTTTATTCTTGTATTATTATTTATTAATTTGTATTTTTCCATACAAACAACTGTAAACCTGCTTTTGCCCATTCCTGTATGTGGCGTGAACTAAAAGAGCAAGCTGTGCTATTAAAATTTCTGCTAATGACAAGCATTTGCTATGCCCCAATACAACCAGGGCAGAGAGGGATATCTCTTCCCACACAACCACAGTGTCAAAACTGAGGGCTGAACTCAGGTCTGCCCAAACCAAACCAGTATGTTCTTCATCACTGACAATCTGACAGGAGAAAAAACAATTATTGTTTTACTTAGGAATATTGTTCGGCATATTTTTTTAATTTGATTTCTTTTTAAGAGAGAGAAGAAGGGAGAGAGAGAAAAACACTGATTTGTTGTTCCACCTCCTTATGCATTCATTGGTTGATTCTTGCATGTGCCCTGACTGAGGATAAACCCGAACTGGTATCGAGATGATGCTCTACCCAGCTGAGCTACCTGGCCGGGGCATACGGCCGCTTTTCATGTTTATTGGCCATTTGTATTTTTATTGTCGATTGTCAAATCATGTTTTTTCCCCATTTTTCTATATTCTTCCTCTTTATTGATTTGTAAAAGTTCTAGGTACATAGGAATAATTCCCCGTTGTAAGTAACAAATGTTATATTGAACCATATTGTAGTGTTTGAGATTTTGTGGGGGTAGGTTTTAACACACATCTTTGATCCTTCTGGTATTCATTTTGGTATAAGAAGTACGGGCAGGGCCCTGGCCGGTTTGGCTCAGCGGTTAGAGTGTTGGCCTGCGGTCCGGAGAGACCCGGGTTTGGTTCCCACTAAGGGCAGGTACCTCGGTTGCAGTTTGTCCCCAGCCCTGGTTGGTCGTGCGGGTGGCAGCCACTCAATGTGTCCCTTTCACATCGATGTTTCTCTCTCTCTCTCTCTTCCTCTCTCTCCCTCCCACTCTATCTAAACAAAAAATGGAAAAATGTCCTCAGGTGAGGATAAAAAAAAAAAGAAGTATGGGCAGGGATCCATTTGCCCCAGTGGCCTGACATTTATTCCAACAATATTTATTTATTTATTATTATTATTTTTAATCTTCACCCGAGGATATTTTTCTATTTATCTTCAGATAGAGTGGGAGGGAAGGAGAGAGAGAGAGAAACATAAATGTGAGAGGGACACATCGACTGGTTGCCTCCTGCATGACCCTGACCAAGACTGGGGACGAACCACAACTGAGGTATGTGCCCTTGACCAGAATCAAACCCAACTCTTTGGTCCGCCGGCCGTTGCTCCAACCACTGAGCCAAAGCATCCAGGGCGATTCCAACAATATTTATTAAAGATCCAATTGTTGCCTGGCCAGTGTGGCTCACTGAGCATTGACCCATGCACCAAGAGGTCGCCGGATCAATTCCTGGTCAGGGCACATGCCCAAGTTGTAGGCCAAATCCCCAGTAGGGGGCATGCAGGAGGTGGCCAATTGATGTTCTCTCTCATTGATGTGTGTGTCTCTCTCTCCCTCTCCCTTCCTCTCTAAAATCAATAAAGTAAAAATCCAATTACTCTCCACTCAGTTGAAATCTCACCTTATTATGATATTTTAGATTCAGTCTTTTTTGCTTCACATCCTCCAAAAGTAACACCACTGTTACATGTGGACAACTCAGGAGGATCTGTCAAAGTCTGGTTTGTAGGGCTGAGATAGGTCCACCTCACTCACAGGTAACTGTGTACCCAGGAAATGGCACAGGACGTGTCCTCCCAGGGTGTCTGCGGAGGGGAGGAACAAGTGAATCAGTAAATGCAAACCTCAGAGCAGCTGCCGTAGAATAGTGAAGGTTCCAACCAGCTTCAAAGGAGTGAAGAAATTCAGAATGAATGATCCCGTGTCCAGAATAGGTATAAAAATAAGCACTATAGGAGCCCAAAACTGCTAAGTTTCCCTTTGTCACTCTAGGTAATAAGATATTATTTGTCTCAAGATTTTACACTTAAATTTTTAATGACTTAGCTCTAGCTGGTATAGCTAATTTGGTTGAACCATGTCCCATGCACCAAAAGGGTATTGGTTCAATTCCCAGTCAGGGCACACACCCAGGTTTCAGGTTTGATCCCTGGTCGGGGTGAGTATACCGATAGGTGTTTCTCTCTCACACTGATGTTTTTCTCTCCTCTCTCTCCCTTCCTCTCTCTCTAAAATCAATACCAATGTATTTTTAAATTTCTTCAATGATTTAAATATTTTATTATAATATTTGAGGTCCGTGTTGGTGAGCCTGACAAAAGGGGTATTTGCCCTTAATGTACTTACAAAAATACACGTTCAGTAAGTGATCATTACAGAAAACAGCCTAGCATTTAGCATTCTGTTCTAGCTTACCCGGATTTCCACTTACCAGGCCACACATAGGGACCTTCATCTCCCAGCACTACTTGACACGGGGATTCTGCAAGGTGGAGGAGCACCCCAGAGCGGTGCCCACTCTGTCTTGCCAGTAGCTTCTTTCTTTATAACAATCTGAGAGTCAGTTGGGCCCCAAGTCCTCTCCCTAAATCTTCCTTCTGCTTGCCCCTCCCCCCCAAAAAAGCTGTCCTCACCAGGAACAAGGGCATCCACTTAGCTGCAAAGACTGTAAGACCACAATTTCCAGGACCAGCCTCATTTCAAATAACATGTCCTATTGTCAAACCATGTCAGGCCAGGGTACAGGTGCCAGCCCTGATTTTTGGCCTGGTGGCCCAGGATCCTGACTCTGTGACAGAACTGCTGGTGAGGGACCTCCAGAGCCCTCATTTTTCTGCACCATGGCACCACTGGACATTCTGAAGCTCAAACAGCTGTTTCTGGCCAGTGTGCCCATGTTCTTCAGCGTTCCTAGCATTAGATGGAGTAAGGATGGCTCCAAAACATGCTTGCTGGCACAAGATCCATCTGCTAAGCTGCAGTCCTGGCTGGGCCATGGATCCCCAGATCTAATTTGGAGAACAAGCTGACTGTCCTTCCTCCTTCCGGCAGGTGGTGATTGAGTCAGACCTGTACCCTTCCCGGCCCCTGGAGCTGCTACCACGTCGCAGTGACCGCTGCGAAACTGAGGGCCACAGGTTGGGCTGGCTCCAGAGTTCTCGGCAGCAGGGACCCCACCCCACCAAGACCCCAGCCAGGACCCCTGCCAAGACGCCTTCCAGAACGGGTATGTGTGTCCTGACCCCTGTTCCCGGTACCTCCCTCAGGGACAATGACTCACTTAGAGCAGCAGCCGAAGTATCTTTGTCCTGGCTTGTGGTTTGTCTGACTGCACTGTGGTCCTCCCTGGTGTCCTCGTCACACCAGGTGAGTGAAGCACCTGTGTCGTGGGGACTACCCTTCCCCCCAATACATACTGTTTCCACTCTGGGTGCACCTGTTCTCAGACCCCAGCTACAGCAGCCCCACACAGCACCTTCTACCTATGAACCTTGCTTCTGGTGTGTATGGTGAGCAAAGATGCTTTCATGAACCTTCTTGCTCCACAAGAAGCCCTGCTGGATTCAGGAGATGAAAGTGATTATGCTCTGGGGGAGAGAAAATTCATGACTCATACAGCAGAAGAAGCCTACCATATTTATTTTACAGGCAGTGTGTATGTAATTATACAGACTCTTTATAAACAACCATCTTAAAATCTCACCATCTTAAATTTGAATGACTTAGGCTACTTCAACAATCCATAACAAGAATTTGGGGACAAATTTGTTTTGAAGGCTGGAAACAATATAGTCTTACCTTTCACACCATGTTTATAAAGGACTTCCACCTCAAGCAGTCAAGCAAGTAACTTCCTCTAGCTTGCTGAAGTTTGTGATGGTATTTGCCTTTAATTACTGGTTTAGGTTATTTCTGTTATGCCCACAGCCTGAAGTTATTCATATTTTAACTCCAAAAATACACATTAGAATGTCTGGGATGTTCTTCTCAAAGCCTTTGTGTGCCAACAATTTTATTTTGAAATAAGACTCCATTGAGTATGTCCCTTCATCCATCCATCTTCTCCAAGGTTTCTTTGATTGCTAACACCCCAATCCTGTTTTTATGATCCTACTACAAGAGTGCACAAACCAATCTATATTCTCCAGTTGAGGTGATTACATATGCACATATGCCTGTAGAATGAAAGCATTAGGAAAACCACAATCTGCCTTGCAAATTAAGAGGACATACATTTTTTCTGTGTCTATATATAGGTGAGTGGGTGGGGGCATGTGTGTGTAGAAAGGGAAAAGAGAATATCTTCACTACAAAATCCTAAAGTGAATTTAGAGCCATGTTTCTCAAATTTAGTGTGCAAAAGAGTCGCCTGAGAATCTTTGTGCAGATTCCAATTCAGTAAGACTGAGTAAGGCCCCAGATTTCATGTTTCTAATAAGCTTCCAGATGATGCTGAGGGTCCTGTTCTGAGGACAACATGTTGATTAGCAAGGATTTGGAGATGATTTCGTGGGTGGTTCTCAAATTGGGGTCCTCAGAGCAGCAGAATCATCTGGGAACTTGCTAGAAATGCAAATGTTGGGTCCCAACCAAATTATTGAATCATTAATTCTGGGATGGGGTCCAGAAATCTGTATTTTAACAGTCCCACCCCAGGTGATTCTAATGCCCACTGAAGGCAGAGAACTACTGCTCTATTGCACCCACCTTGCCACCTTACAGAAAAGGAAGCCGAAACCATGGAAACGGTGTGACCTACCCAATGTCATACTGCTCATCAGGAACAGAACTGAGATTAAATCTCAGATCTGATTTCCTAGCTAAAGCCTCTTCCCCCTGGAGACTAATGTCTTCCTACCTGTGTGGTTGTAGGCATTTCCTTCCTTCCTAAGTAGTTTACAGAAGCTTGGACAACCCAAGTCAGTGTTCTGTTCTGAAAGAGGAGCCAGCCCAACATGTGACAGTCAGCTCATGCAGGGAATGTGTAGTTGGTTTAGAAGGAAAAAAAAGATTGAGCTGGGTGTCGATTGAAACTTCAGCTCCCCGAATCTGATAGATTCTAGAGGGGGTGGGAGAGAGGGCGGGTTTCTGAACCAAAGCCAGAGCCCAGGGCTCTCCCCGGGAAGAATTGGCCCGGCCTTGGGCATTGGGACTTCTCTCCTCCCATCAGAGGACGGGTGTCTCCAGGGATCTCAGATCTGGGGACTTGTTTCTTCTCTGAGCTACGGGAGAAATTCCTGGGTGCTGTGGCCTTCTCGTGCGAGAAGAAGATTCCCTGAGGAATCTTGGATATTGCCGTATTCGGAAGGCAGGGGCCTAGCTGGAAATGCTCTCACCATGAGCCCTTGAGCAGGTGAGCCTCAGGTGCCTGGGAAGGGGACCACCCCACCGCCTGGGCCTGGGAGAATCGGTTACCAGTGGAATCTCAGGCACCTCCAAATCAACTTTTTCAAACAGAACTCATCTTCCTCATGCAACCCTCTCTTCCTTTCTCAGCTGGGGCCACTGTCCATCTTTCCGGCAAGCTGCTGGGATGTTCTCCCTAACACCCCTTTCCTTCTCACCCCCACTCCACACACCATGTCAGTTCCTAGATATGTCTCATCTCTCCCTCTGGAACCTACCTCGGGCTACCTGGACTCAATGTCCCTTCATCATCTTTTGTGTGTAGTAGCCAACCCTCGCCCTCAGCCACCAGTCCCCCTCCCTCTATGAGGCTACCAGAAGGGTCCTTCTAAAGCTGAAACCTGCCTCTGCCATTCCTCTACTGTAAACACTGTGTCCTCACCACCTGCAACCACCCATACTGTGCCCAAGGCCCTCCAGGACCTGCTAACATCTCCTGGGCCACTTCCTGTGACACTCCTGTCCCTGTCAGTCCATACACAGGGCAGCCCTGAGCTGCTGTGTGATACCGTGACCACTCCCTTATGTACTATTTCCCTGGACCTTTGCTGGCAGTCTTCTCTCTGCAGATCACCCTCCTTGTATCTGTCCACCTGGCAAACTCCTCCCAGTCTAGGCTAGGGGGGTTCCGGGTCTATTTCTCCAGCCCTACAAGACCAACAAGGGCAGTTTGCCATCCCTGAGATCTTTACCAGCTTTGTTAAAATTGTTATGTATTACTAAAGCCTCAATATTCTCATCCAGATTTACAATAGCTAAGATCTGGAAACAGCCCAAGTGTCCATCAATAGATGAGTGGATAAAAAAGCAGAGGTTCATGTACACAATGGAATACTATGCAGCTGTAAGAAAGAAAGATCTCTTATCCTTTGAGACAACATGGAGGGACCTGGAGAGTATTATCCTAAGTGAAATAAGCCAAGCAGAGAAAGACAAATATCACATGATCTCACTTATTTGTGGAATATAATGAACAAAACAAATTGATGAACAAAATAGATCCAGAGACGTAGAAGTAGGGTACAGACTGACATACCTCAGAAGGGGGGGGGGGGTAAACCACAGAACTTATATGCATGTATGCATAACCGATGGACATAGACACCAAAGCTGGGGACAGAGTGGGGGAGAGGGGATAGGGAGAAGGGTGTCAATGGGGGGAAAAGGAGAAACATCTGTAACAAAAATAAATTCTCATCCAGAAAGTGGGGACTATGATGACACCTACCTGTCAGGGTCGTGGTGAGGATTAAATCAAACAATGTGAGTGTGTTTTACACTCAGCCCAGTATCTGATACAGTACATACTCAAAATATGAGCTGCATCATTACTTATGCCAGAGCACTGCACATCATGGTTTGATCTTGGTAGTCTTGTAACTTTGTTTAGCTGGCATGGAGATGTTTTCCTGGGGTGGGGATGCTTTATTTCTATATGCTGTAGTGTGATAGGGTGGGGCTCATTCTGGAATGTATTGGGTGTCTAGGGGCAGAAAGGTAAATAATTGATCAGAGCTATAAAGACTTAACTCTAATAACGTCTGTGATCTGGTTCCTTAGGAAGGAAGCAGATGCTGAAGGCACATTCTCTGAGCACCTTCTTTCTAGGCTGTAGTTCTTGCCCCTGAAAGAGCATCAGTTGCCCTGCTGCCTGATCCGACTGCCTAGTACAAGGCCTTTAGAAATTCCTGGCTTGTCATAAAAAAGAATGAAATCTTACCTTTTCATTGGATGGACCTAGATGGTTTTACGCTCAGTGAAATAAGTCAGATAGAGAAAGACAAATACCATATGATATCACTTATATGTGGAATCTAAAGAGCAAAATAAACAAATAAACAAAATAGACAAAGAGAACAGACTGACAGCTGTCAGAGGGGAGTGGGTTGAGGGGCTGGTGAAAAAAAAAAAAAGGTAAAGAGATTATAAAGTTCAAACTGGTAGTTACAGAATAGTCACAGGGATATAAATGACAGCATAGGGAATATATTTAACAATACCGATAACTATGTGTGGAGCCATGTGGGTACCTGAAACATTGGAGGATCACTCTGTAAAGTACATAAGTTTCCAACAACTATGCTATACATCTGAAACTCACACAGAATAATATTGAATGTAAACTGTGATTTAAAAATGAGATAGATAGATAGATAGATAGATAATTTTTTTAAAAAAAGGAAGAAATTCCCGGCTTTACTAATTGACACAGACCCCAGGGAGGCGGTACAGAGTGCACTACGTCATGTGTCCTTCATTCACCTTTGCAGTGGGGATTGCTGAACCCAAACCATCAAGTCTGTGTGGGACTCGAGCCTATGGGAAGTCTTTGGTGAGTATATAAGCCTGGGTGGTTGTGCCTGTGGTGCCCTGTCTGTGCCATGACAAGAGACTGAGGGTCCTTCGGGCTCGTTCTGAGGGTTGTAGAAAAGCAGGCCCCCACCATCTGTCGGCTTGCGGCAAACTCCTGGCTGCTGTTGTCTTTCTGTCCAGAAATTCAGCTCTTAGGCAAACAGAAGAAGGTGCTACCTAGTGGACATCTCAAACATGGGGCGAAGCAGCATTTCTGTAGCTGGCTCCTCCTGCCAGAGGGAAATGCCTGACTAATTCCCAAGGGCAGCTGCGGGGGAGAGAGATGGGAGGGGTCTCGAGCGCTGTGAAAACACACAGCTCCGGTCCTCTCAGGATGAGATGCCGCTGGAGGGCATCTGCTGCAGCTCAGGTTCTCTGCAAGCCGACTGAGGTTTGGGGTGTAGAGTAGAGATACACAGCAGGGATCAATACCTGTGACAGGAGAAGGGTGGCAGGCTTTGGCCTTGCCACACAGGCCCGATCCCTCTCGATGGGAGCTCTGGGGCAAGTGTTGCCCATCAGGGTTGTCCTCAATTGGGCCCCAAGGGCCAGGTCTTTACGTTTCCTCCTCGCCCTATCACAGCATGTGGGGTGCCCCAGGAGGGCATGACCTCGGACAAGGTGGCCTTTCTGCAGCTGAGACATACCTGAGGGAGCTGAGAGCCCTCTGTTGCCTCCAGAAGTCGAGCGGCATGTCCTTCTCTGAAGAGGGACCATCAGGTGGCGCATGTCCAGGTCAAACTCAGAGTCACCCTGAAAAAAATACATCTCCTGATTCTCTTTCTGGGCATGAACATGGGCACCTCGGGTTAGCACGGTAGGGGGAAGGGTCATGGTTGGAGGTTGGTTGGCTCGGGCACCCTGTGCTCATTGCCACGTGAGAACTCGAAGAGATCCGACACCTTGTCTGGCCCAGCCCCTCGTCCTTACAGCACAAATTGTACAGAGAGGTGAGCACTTTGCTCCTCTGAGCAGATCTAACCTAAGTATCTTGTTAAGTTCTCCCGATCCTAGGAACATCACACAATGGGCCAGGATGAGGCAAGCTGTTCTGTCAGGAGCCCCTTGTCCCATCCAAGCACTCAGGGGAAACAGAACAGCTGGGCCATTGCCACAGACGGAAGGTTGTCAGGCTGTGACAGCTCAAACAGCTAGGTTCAGTCAAACCCAGGGGAAGACAGACACTAAAGGGAAGAGGGAGCTCACAGCCTGGATCACTGGCCCCAAGCCTGGGGCTGGGCTCAGACGGTGCCTTTGGCAGAGAGGTAGCTGCAGCTGGGAGGCCAGAGCAGGTTGGGTGGGATAGGGTGGTGATGGGGACACAGTTACAAAGGGCAGGGCAATAACAATGCAGAGGACAAAGTGGCAGCATGAGTCACCCTTTTCTCTGGGCCTGAGGCAGTGGGGCTGGGGTCCTGCAACTCATCAGAGGCTGGAGAGCAACCCAGAGCTCGCACAGCTACATCTGATTCAACGCTGAAATCACCGGAGGACATCAGACTAAGCAGAGGGGAAGAAGGCAGGGTGGGTATATGGTCCCCCGGGCTGTTGGCAGGATGGGGAGGGAGAGCTCCCTGGAGGCCACAAGGTGGCACAGTAACTCTGCCCACAACCTCTGGCCAGCTCAGGAGAGGAGGGGGAGGTGAATCGTGGTGTCCTCGACCTGGAATTTCTCAGCAATTCCAGGAATACGGTGAGCTTAAGCCACCAGCGGGCCTTGGGTGGAGGAAACAAAGCAGTTCAGTCCAGAGAGGGAAGGAAACCCGAATGAAGATGCAGAGCGGGCGTGAGCACTGGGAAAGGCAGGAGTGGCCCCGCTGGGACAGGAACTGCTGACACCAGTGGGGGTGACAGAAAGCGGAGCTGAGTAGATAAGGTGGAGGGGGGGGTCTGTGGAGCCTTGAAGAGCAGGCTGCAGAGGTGGCCCCACACATCCAGGAAGGACCTGGGGTGTGTGTCAGGTCTGGCTGGAAACCAGGCCCCGGCTGACTGGCCCTGAAGGCTGCAGCAGAGGAAATGGAGAGGGTGGCAGAAATCCAGGCAGTAATTCAAAGCAAGGACCTGCATGATTTGACAATAAAGGGGACCCAGCAAGGGGAGTGTGAGGGGGACAGAGTTTTCAGTTAAGATTGAGTTGCTGTCTCTCAAGTTTCTTCTCCAGGTGGGGCTCCAGGACTAGCAGCACTTAGGAACTTGTTAGAAATGGGAATTCTCTGGCCCACATCAGACCTACTGAATCGGCACCCGGGTGGGCCCGGCACAGTGCTCACAAGCCCAACGGGGCAGTCTGATACCCACCCAAGAGTAAAGACTATTGCCCTGGGTTGGTGGTGGTTCAGTTTAGCCACCCCCTTTCAAATGGCTCGAGTTGTGCCGGGCTGGGACCATGGTTACAACCTCACACTCTCTTCCCCTGCCTTACCACGCAGATTCCCCCAGTGGCCCGGATCTCAGTGAAAGCCCCCGCGGCTGTCCTGGAGGTGGCAGCCCCCGGCTCAGAGAACAGAGCTGTTCCAACAAGAGGGTAAGCGCTGTGCCCCTCAGCCCACTGCCTTCGAGATGCCCCACCTGCTCCGGGCCTGCAGCAGAAGAGTAACAGGTGGCCTGGTTGACAGACTCTCAAGATACTAACAGAGAATCCACACCAGCTGCAAATTCCCTCTTAATGAGGGCAATAATCCTGGGTAACTGTTTCCCTAGGATGAAGCTGAAGTGTGCTTGATGATTTCCACTTCATTAACGCCACTCTTTAGACTTGGAGAACCGTCATTTGGAGGATTTTTGGTTAATTAGATAAATGTAATCACAGGACATAGTGAGAGCCTCTGGTAAGCATACTGAGGTCAGAAATGCCTCCTGAATTAGGTTCAGGGCCCCTGCCCAAAGCTAACGAAGTATGTAAGATACAAAGGTTTGAAACCAAATTTTACCCCCAAGTTACATTACCTCTGATCCAGAGCCAGCAGCTAGAGTCACAGGAGTGGGTAACCCCCAGCAGCCCCCCACAGCCCCCTGGGTGGGCAGCAGTCTTAAAGTCAGTTCATCTTGTCCACTTATGTCCCACCACTGTCCCCCGTGCTGCAGGGGCAGTCAAGTGGAGCTGCTTGCCTGGCACCCACTGCCTGTTATGACTTTGGGGAAATTATTTAGACCTCAATGTCCTCATTTATTAAAAAAAAAAAAAAAAACCCAACCAAAAAAAGTGAGGATTATAATGGCACTCTTCTGGAGGGATATTTTGAGGTTGAATGAGGTAATGTGTAAAGAGCTTAGCATAAACCGTTGCTAACATTTTTCAAGAAACGTACAATCTAGTAGTGAGAAAGACATGTACTCAGGAACATGTTAGTTGTGGACATGTGAGGGACCATAGGCTAAAGTATCAACCTGAGTGGTGCACATCTTGAACACTGTGGAAGTCCAAGAGTAAACAGACCAGTGCAAAGCCCCTTTTAGATAGAAGGAAGCCATCCTGGAAGACTTATAAAAACCAATCACTCAATATATTGGGATCTAGTTGGAGAAAACTAAGACAATTGTTTGGATTGTATTAAATTCTAGGAGCAAATTGTTCTCAGCAGTGATGACTTGTGGTGACTGCTGGAGTAAGCCAGCAAAACCTTACTATGCCGCAACAGAGTCCGACCCTACCAGTCCACATAGCTGCATCGCAAAGGGATCCACATGGATCCTTTCTCTCTAAGCTCAGACATTCTCATTTCAATTTGTTCCTGGGCCCTGGCTGTTCACAAGTAAGGCCATTTCTTTCACCTACGGAGAGAAGGTGGGGAGAGAAATGAATGTTTATGGAGGCCTACTATGCACCAGATGCTTTATTTTCTCATTTTCCTCCTCACAATAGCCCCATGAGTTAGATGAAATTACCCTCACTTTGCACATGAGGAAAGAGGCTGCCTGAGGTTAAATCACTTGCCTGAGGTCACACAGTGCACGGGGGATAGGATTCAGCCCAGGGCTCAAGCTCTTTCAGTAGCCAGTGCTCCGGGACATCCACCCTTTCCAGCAAGATTGTCTGTGCGGAGGTGGGAGGGGCGGGAACGTGAAGGTGGAACAAGAGTAGAATTTGAGGTCCATAAACCAGTGTGCCCAAGGCCACCTCCTTCCCTCACCCTATCTGATGATCCCCCTGGGGGAGTCATTCCTTCACAGGTCCCAACAGTGACCCTCCCTCCTAGGCACAGGGTGTGCGAGTAGGGGAAGAATAAGAGCACAGGCCATTCTTCTTCAGAGCAAAAACAAACTCTGGTTCAGTGAAGTGACTGCCCTCCCCACTCAGCCCTGGGTTTTCTTTAGATCCAGACACCTCAAGAAGATGACGGAAGAGTATCCAACCCTTCCCCAGGGAGCAGAAGCCTCCCTACCACTGACAGGAAGTGCGTCCTGCAGCATCCCCAGCATCCTCCGGAAAATGTGGATGAGGCATAAGAAGAAGTCCGACTACGTGGGAGCTACCAACAGCGCCTTTGAGGCCGACTAAAGAGGGCCTTCCCCAAGTGCCCTGAGTTGGTGATAGTTCACTGCTCAGAGGGAGAAAGCTGGTTGAAATGGGGCCACACTTACTTCTGCAAGTAGCTGGTACAAACACATCGCCCTCCCTTACTTCCCGATCACCCGACTTAGAACGCATGCAAGGATCTTCCCTCGAAGGCAAAAGAAGACTGTTCCTTCTTAGAATCGCTAAAGGCCCTGGTCTGAAAGTGACTTTGGGAAGCCATAAGTTTACATCCTTATTTTTAAGCAAAACCACACCAAAATAAAATTGTCCCAACTCATTTTAAAGACCTCCAAGGAAGGAAGAGGGTGATTTTTTCCATCTTCCTTGTGAATCATTCTAATGTGTGTGATTTCTGGTATAATTGTAAGAGCTTGGTATTTGATGCCCTTGTAAAACACAATGGTTCCTACTCTTTCTGTTGTCACATTTATTTAATCTTGACAAGGTAGGATTTTTAATGACGAAGCACTATACATTACTTAGTAGTGCATATTTCTTCTTCAGAGTGTCACCAAGGTGGGTTTGATGATTATTTGGCATGATTGCATGAATTCTCTATTCTTGTACGTGCAGTTTTTCTATAGAAAAACAATTAAAAATTAGATGTTGAATGTTAATGTTTTCTGAAATGGCATAGTCTGGTGGAATTAATAACACCTTGCTTTGGGATAATGATTTCAACTTTTGAAAGTGTTTTCCTATCTGTTATCTCTTGTCTTCACAAAATCCCTGTTAGAGAAAGCACAATTGTCCCAGAGTCCTGGTGGGGAAGCCAAGGCCACTAAGAGATTGTGTGACTAGATACCAGACGGTGGAACTAGATACCAGGTCCTCAACTTCTCCATCAGACTCCTTGCTTTGCTTACCCTAGCATTTGATTTGAGGAAGGTTTTGAGGAGTAGGACTATGTCTCTGGAAACAATCTTTGAAGGGAAGAATTTGATAAAGTTGGAACAATACGTGATTTGCTTTTTGTTGTTGTTTTGTTTCTCACAATCAAAATATTTTATTGTATTTTTTTTCCAAAATTCCAAATACAGCAAATTTTAGAACACCTTATATGTATTTTGGAAAACTTAAGAACAGTAATGAAAATTAGTTGAAACTTTTTTTTTTATCCTCACCCAAGGACATTTTTGCATTCATCTTCAGATAGAGGAGGAGAGAGAGGGGGGAAGAGAGAGAAACATTGATGTAAGAGAGACACATTGAGTGGTTGCCATCCACACGACCCCAACTGGGGCCAGGGACAAACTGCAACCAAGGTATGTGTCCTTAGTGGGAACTGAACCCAGGACTCTCTGGTCCGCCGGCCAGTGCTCTAACCACTGAGCAAAATCAGCCAGGGCTAGTTGAAACTTTTAAGCAAGAAAGCTTCAGAGAACACTGATATTGTTGAAAAATTCATTTGGGTCCAAAGAGTTCGTTTTTTTTTATTATGCATCCATTTTTTTAATTTTTATTGAATTTATTGGGGTGACATTGGTTAATAAAATTACATAGGGTTCAGGTGTACAATTCTATAATTCATCATTTATATATTGTATTGTGTGTTCACCACCCCAAGTCAAGTCTCCTTCCATCATCATTTATTCCCCTCATACTCTTTTTTACCTTCCCCACCCCCTCCTAATATATGCTTTGAATGAAATACATTATTATGCATTAGGTCAAACCAGAAGAAATTGCCATGTTTATAGGCCAAAGTCAATTGGTTATCAATTTTATATCATTCCACCTAATGTATAATATTATTCTTTCCTTCTTTCAATGGGAATGTCATTATCAATTTCACTGTCAACATCGGTAGACTTACAGATAATATAATGATATATATCATTTACTAAATGCCTACTATGTGCCAGGCATGATACTGAGCATTTTATGTACATTATCCCAATCTTTCTAACAACTCTGAGTTAGGTAGCCTTACCCATTTAATAGATACCAGTTTAAAGTAGTTAAATGATTAGTCTGAAGACACCTAATCATATGGGTGTCAGGCTTCAATGCCTGTGTTGTATCTACTCCTTCACAGAGATTAATTCAGAACATAGAGAAGGACCATAGTAAATCATTTTGATATCAAATGCTAACCACAGTTGACTGGCTGAGGCTGCCTGGAGTTTTGTGTGGAGATGGAATCTGAGATGAAGGTGTGCAGTGATCAATTAGTAATACCTGCCTGTGGAGGGGGCTCAGTGGCATATGCCTTGAGCATTGCCACCTGTGACTTCAACTCTTCCCCCAGAAGCTTAAATTAATCCAACTCACTTAACAAAACCTGACACTCCATGGTAAAATTTAATCTAAGACTAGGTTGGAAATTGCTGTGTCTTGGTACAAAGAAGAATTTGGTCACATTACCGGTCTTGGACTCAACTACTGTTGATATGCTGCTGCTCTATGGCCAGATGTCACTTTTTGCTCAGTGATCTGCTTCCATGTTTCCAGGTGAGCCGGAAGAAGGCATGGGGGGTGCGTGGTGAAGAAGCCTCAGCTTTGGGGCTTTACCTCGTTGATCTCTGCTCTTCAACCGTTGTTTAGATTCTGCACACTCAGTCCTTGCGTCAGGACATGATTCGGAGATTAGGGTGTCAAGTGCTCTTTCAATGAGGGCTTAGTCTCAAAGGACTGTCTAATAGTCTCACCCAGTAGAGATGGGGCTGGGGAAAAGTTAGGGAGCAATTAGATGATTTGTGTCGGACCTATCAATCCGAGTATCCTCAGACTGTTTATTTTAACTTATTGAACTCATAACTGATGTTCTCTATTTGTATGTGGCAGCTGGAGATTTCTGTAGGATGAAATTAACTTATTTATTTTTACTTTAAATATTTCACGATGAAATGTGTACCTCATATAGAACATTTTCATTGGCTAATTCAAATAAAAATAAAATATGCTTTGTTTGTGACATTAATAAACCACCATAAGAGTATGCCTGAGGTTCCCTCATTGAATGAGAAAGAAGACTTTCGCAAACGGACAGAATCATGCATCTGGATCTCATTGCTTCTGTACCGAAATGAAAAGGGCTGTGAGAAAGAACTCAGCATGTTCTTTTCAAACTAAGGCAAGACAATCTGGTTTTGAGATTATAGGCCCGCCCAGCAGTCAACACCAGGGCCAGTTCTGATGGGGCCTGGCATGGCCGGGCCATCGCCTCTATGCTCACCCTCCTCCCCGCTGATGCTGACCTCTTAGTCCCCCCACCCGCCCAAACCCCAGGGGCCCAGTGGCCATCCCCAGCCTGCTGGCCTCTCACCCCAAGGAGGGGGAAGATGCCGCCTCTTTTCCTCTGTGCTCACCTCATGGTCATCCTCCCTGGAGACTGCCCACTATGACTCATGTCACAGCCACTTGCAGAAAATGCCAGGGCTAGCTACAGAGGGCCATCTGGGCAGGCCAGAGGCTGGAGTCGTCTGACACCAGAGGCACCAGGGTTTCCAGGACATTTAGGGTAATAAAATTGCCTCTGTTAGGACCAAGCCCAGCCAAATATTTCACTTCTTACTTGAGCGCTCTCTGCGGCGGTCTTCCTATCCCTCCCAGTACTTGGGTTGCCTTTACAGCAGGCAGATGGGCAGTGGGTAGGAAAAGCAGCAGCAGCCAGAGCCCAATTTTAAAAGGAATCATGTGACACGTTGACGCTATATTGGCAGAGACCAAGGGACGAGCAAGGAAAAACACAGGCAGAAAGATGAATCTCCTAAGGCTTAGAACTAACTATATTTGGCTTTTAATTTCTTATAAGAATGTCAGCCTCTGTTAAGAGGTTTTTTGGTAAATACATTGCCACAGGGCCATGGGAGAGAGATCTCATTCTTTAGACAAGGCCGTGTGCCTAGAAAAAAAACTGGGTGTGGGGAAAGTGGACCTGGGACGAGATTCACTTCCGTTAATACCCTTTGTTGGGAGAGAGCATGCAGTTTGGGGAAAGGTGTGTGCTGCCCAGGGAGTGGGAGCAGAAAGAACCTGACATGCGACACCTCCAGCGCGGGACAGCTGGCCTGGGCTACTGTGGAGGAGCCAAGTGGAAAAGCTCTCACCTTCCCACACCCCTCACTCCAGGAGACCCTCAGAGCACAGGCTGCCATGAGGCTGAATCCCCTCCCCAGCAGGCAAGCAGCCAGGCCTTTCCCTGTTGGCCCAAGAGGGGCCTGTGCTTTTCCAGGAAGGACAGGAAGCTGGATCCAGCCCAGCCCTAAATAGAGAGGGGTCCCTGGAACTCTGGCCTAGCGCTGACCAGCGTTTTTGACTCCATCCACAGAAGAGCAAAGAGTTTTCTCCTTCGTCTGGGCCACGGGCATTCTGCAGGGAGAGGCCTCACTTAACATCAACCAGCTTTTGTTCACGTCAGACTCCATGGAGCTCAGGATTCTACCCAGCCTGGCAGTTGTGGGGACAGGAGTATGGGGGGACAGCAGGAGTTAAAAACGCCTGATGAACAAGACATGGCCATTTTCTTTTTTTTCACTCCTCACCCGAGGATATTTTTTCCATTGATTTTTTAGAGAGAGTGGAAGAGAGGGAGAGAAAGTGAGAGAGAGCAAGAAACATCGATGTAAGAGATACACATTAACCCTGGCCAGTCTGGCTCAGCGGTAAGAGTATTGCCCGCAGACCAAAGAGTCCTGGGTTCGATTCCAGCCAAGGGCATGCACCTCAGTTGGGGTTCGTCCCCGGCCCTCTTTGGGGTTGTGTGGATGGCAATCAACTGATGTGTCTCTCTCACATCAATGTTTCTATCTCTCTCTCCCTCCTTCTCTCCCTCCAGCTCTATCTGAAGATTAATGTAAAAATATCCTCGGGTGAGGATTAAAAAAATAAACAAATAAGAGGGACACATTGACTGGTTGCCTCCTGCATCGCCCTGTGTGTGTGTGTGTGTGTGTGTGTGCGCGCGCGCGCGCCATGTGCAGTGTGTGGTGTGTGTCGTGTTAGTCAAGCTGCTTGAGTTTCTTTGAGCCCCCATTGTCCCTCATCTATGGAACGTGGATTAAATGACCTGCCCGTGGACCTCACAGGCTGATGAAAAATCAAAATAGAGCTGGTGCGTAGAGCCGGTGTGGCTCAGTGGTTAAGTGTCAACCCAGGCACCAAGAGGTCGCCAGTTCTATTCCCGGTCAGGGCACATGCCCAGGTTGTGGGCCTGAAAGCCAGTGGGGGGCATACAGGAGGAGGCCAATCGATGTTCTCTCTCATTGATGTTTCTCTCTCTCTCTCTCTCTCATTTCCTCTCTCTGTAAAATCAATAAAGGAAAAAAAAAAGAGAGAGAGAGATGGTGCATAAAAGGGCTTTATAAACTGTGAATTGCTTTTCTAACACATGGTGCTATGATAAATCCACTCCACTCAGAAAGAAGCTGGGCTGGGTGGAGAGAAGCAGCCCAGGAATCTCAGACAGGAGTGAGGGCTGAAGAGGGAGGCAGGGACCGGAAAGAGAATCCTTTTCA